CAGACGCAGAACAGGAAAGTCCGAGCCGAAGCTCTGCCTGAGCTGGAGACGAGCTGCGCGGATCCAGTCGATCAACACCTCAGTGACATCACCCTTGCTGCGCAAGGGGAAGACTGTGGTGTAACGCGAGTAGTCGTCAACCACCAGCAGGAAGTAGCGCTCGTGACCCTGTCCACGGACGCGGGCCGGGCCCCACACGTCCATGTGAAGTGTCTGCAGCGGGGCCTCTGTCGGAGGAAACTGGGAGGAGTGAGGGGCAGCCCGCCGCCGCCCCTCGACACAGGGGACGCAGGTAGGGCCAGGCCCCGGAGGAAGGGGAGGGAGGGACCGGGGAAGACCAGAGACAAGGACACGGGAGGCCATGCCTCGGAGACGAAGCAGGGAGGGGTGACCAAGGCGGTGGTGCCAGAGGAGAGTCTCGTAAGACAGAAGGCGACACGAACAGGGGGCAGACTCAGGACCAGACCTGGACGCTGCAGCAAACACCTGACCCGACGCAGCTACCTGACCAGACGCAGTGACTGGAGGAGACGCAGTGGTCAGTGTGTACAGGCTCGACCCCGGCCGACGTGTAAACGTGGCCAGGTGTCGGCCTGTCCGAGCGTCCGTGCAGTGGGTCACCCGCTGACTCGCAGGAGTGAACTGGTGAACCCCCGCATCCTGTAGGTCAGCACCACTCACCAAGTTCGTAGAGAACGAGGGGAGGTAAAGACCAGACAGGGTGCCAGAGGGGGCCGCCGGACACGGGAGGACAGTGGAGAAGTGAGCAAGGACAGGACCCCCAGAGGGGTCTGCCAGAGAGACTGCAACTGGCCGGCCAAGCGGCGTGAGTGTGGTGCGGTCTCGAAAGAAGGAGCGAGAAGCCCCCGAGTCAAGGGTGAAGGTGTGGGAGGCCGAAGCCGACGCAGTACCTGAGAGAGCAGACTCACCAGCACCTGAGGGAGCAGACGCACGAGCACCTAGAGCAGCAGCCTCGCTAGCACCTAGAGCAGCAGCCTCACCAGTACCTAGAGCAGCAGTCTCAATGCCCGGGTCGGGCGGAAAACACCGGTAACAGTCACCCTCATCACTAATAGTCACAGCATACATGGCAGCAAGAATAGCATCTCAGTGGCCTCAGGGAACTGGTGACACCAAGCGTCCGTCAGGCGGCCAAAGCAGCGCTGGGTGGAGTGCGCACCCCCGCACTGCTCACCCGCGCGGTCGCCGGTGTGTAGGACGTAGGTGCACGGACCAGTACCCCCACCCCGCTGGCGTGCAGCGTACCACTCACGGAGCTGCTGAGGGGGGGGGATGTCACGAGTGCGCTGCTGCCGCTGCTGCTGCTGCTACTGGCGCTGACCACCACCGGAGCCGACCCTCTGTGCAGCGCCACCCCGACCAGCTCCACCTCCTCCGCCGCCGCCTCCTCCACCGCCGCCACCTCCGCCACCTCCGCTCCCACCGCCACCGCCGCCGCCGCCTCCGCCTCCATTGCCGCCACCGACACCTCCACCCCCGCCACCACTCCCACCACCACCCCCACCCCCTCCACTGCCGCCACCGCCACCTCCGCCACCCCCGCCAGCCCCTCCAGCACCCTTGCCCCCCTTGCCCTTGCCGGTGCGGCGTCTCCCGCTCGGGGCAGAGGCAACAGAGGGCAAAAGGGGGGAGGGGGAACACCCCTCAAAGACGGGGGTGCGAGGGTCACCACGAGAGGCTCCTACAGCGACTATGCTCTTCTCTGCTGCTAGGAGGGCCTTCTCGAGGAGGTCAACGGTGAGAGTGGTGGGGCAAACTGAGAGGAAGTGGTCCCTGACTACACGAAGGGAGTCAGGGAGCCGGGTGACTATGTAGTAGAGGGTGATGTACATGGGGGGGGAGTTCTTGGCGCAGAACTCAGCAGGAAGCGCAGCGCGGTAGCGAGTGTCACTAGTGCGGAGGTGCGTAATGAGGTCAGCGACTGTGGGAAAGGCAACAAGGTCAGGGAAGAGGTACGGTAGCATGAGGCGGCTCAGTGCAGCAGTGGCAGGGGAGGAGTAGCGCGCAACTACAGCGTCGTACAAGGTGTGAGCACTCTTGTACTGGCTAAAGTGCGCACGCTCAGAGGTAGGCAAGTGGCGACGCACAGCAAGACGTGCAGCAGCATCGCGTGTGGCCCACTGTGAGCGAACAGTGGCGTCAGCATCAGCAGCGGGGGCAGGGGAGGCACCAGAAGTGAGATCAAAGAGGGAGAGACCGTCTGCCCTATCGCACTGTAGGAAAAGCTGCAGGTCATCTACCCAGACGTCAAAGTCAATGGCCCGACCCTCAGCGTCAAAAGCGAGGACACTGGGGGTAGCCATGACAGCAGTAGACTAGCAGTACGAGCAGTAGGCTAAGGGCAGCGCAGTAGTAGAGGTGCTGCTCTTACCGAGCAGGCGAGACGGACCGAGTGTAGAGGACAGGGCGGCTCGGACGGCTCGGCGGCTCGGCAGCACCAGCAGGTCGGCAGCTCAGCGACTCGGCGGCTCGGGTGGCTCGGCGGCTCGGGCGACTCGGGCGGCTCGGGCGGCTCGGGCGGCTCGGGCGGCTCGGGCGGTTCGGTGGCTCGGGCGGCTCGGGCGGCTCGGGCGGTTCGGTGGCTCGGGCGGCTCGGCTGCTGCAGGGGCAGCGGCGGCTGTTGCTCACAGGACGGCGGCGGCCGCTGCTGCAGCGGCGGCGGCAGTTGCTGCTGCAGGGCCGGCGGCGGCCGCTCCTGTAGGGACGGCGGCGGCCGCGGTTGCAGTGGCGGCGGGTGCTGCTGCAGGGGCGGCGGATGCTGCTGCTGCTGGGACTGCGGCCGCGGTCGCTGTAGCGACTGCAGCTGCTGCTGCTGTAGAGGCGGCGACGGCGGGCCGAGAGAGGCCGCGAAGGGCGGCGGACGGGCCGTGAAGGGCGGCACGAGGGGCCGCAGAGGGCGGCGACCGGCCGTGAAGGGGCCGGGAGTGGCCGCAGAGGGCGGCGACGGGCCGTGAAGGGCGGCGCGAGGGGCCGCGGAGGGCGGCGACCGGCCGTGAAGGGGCCGCGAGTGGCCGCGGAGGGCGGCGACCGGCCGTGAAGGGGCCGCGAGTGGCCGCGGAGGGCGGCGACGGGCCGTGAAGGGCGACGCGAGGGGCCGCGAAGGGCGGCTACGGGCCGTAAGGGCTGCGCGAGAGGCCGGAAGGGCGGCGCGAGGGGCCGTAATGGCGGCACGAGGGGCCGTCAGAGGGGCCGCTAAGGGCGACGCGAAGGGGCCGTAGGGGGCCTAGAGAGGGCGCGACGGTAGGGAGGGCACGCGGGGCGCGACTCGGGCAGGAGCGAAGCGCGCTCCGGGCAGGAAAAATAAAAATTTTCGATTGGTGGGCCCTAGGAAGCGTTCCCACGAGGGAACCCGCTCTATACCATGTGAAATAACGAGGAATGGATTGACTAAGGGAAAGTTGGGTACAAAAGCAAACCCTAGAAAACTGTACCCCATATGTGCTACCCCACTATAGCCTACAGTAGCTATGTCATATAAATCTGACATTTCAGCCTTGGCTCCGGCTCTGTTTCTTGGCGGTCTACCTGCTCATCTTCTGTTCTCAGTTCCAGTTGTGAGGCCGAGATCTACGCAGGGGCCATGGCTGCACAGGAGTTACGCTGGCTCACCTACCTGCTGACCGACTTGGGAGAGCGGCCTCGTTCTTCTCCAGTTCTGTACGTAGACATTAAGGCCATGATTGCCTTGTGTCAGGAGCACAGACTGGAGCACAGAACGAAGCACATCGCTCTGCGTTACTTCCTTGCTCGAGAGTTGCAGCAGCGTGGTCAGCTTCGTCTTGCGTACGTGGCCACTAGGGCCAACACTGCTGATATATTCACCAAAGCACTTCAGTCTAGTGATCATCAGCGTTTCTGTACTGTTTTAGGCCTTGTGCCTACTTTGCCTCACTTGCTCTCTGCGTGACTTTGCTTGTACCGTGATCTATACATATACCTGCATGCTTACACTTGCTAGGGTATGATCACTGCACTGTTTGTTCTCTTTTACGTAACTCTGCATGTGAACTGGCCTTGTGGCCATTTGCTTGTGCTCGGAATGTGTGGTGACTTCGTGATCCACCCTGAGCTTGCTTTGCTTTTCTTGACTGATCTTGTGACCAATGGTTCTCCCCCACTTTGCCTATGGGGGTGTGTCAAAATATTATAATGCTTACATTGTGTTGGGTGTAGTGGGGTAGTCCATAAGGGGTACAACCCGATTATGGTTAGTACTTGTACCAACTTTATGTTCAATGCATTTCATTCTCGTTCTAGAATCTGACAAGAAGGCCCATTTCCTCTTCCCTTTCCTGCTTGCACCCACTGCCAATGGTCCCCTGAAACCGATTCCCTTGAGCGTCGTCTCTGATTTACCTGAGATATCACCTGGGGCTTCACCTGAGCCTCCTCAACATCTGAGACACAAGCAGTATGCCTGCGATTAAGCCCCCTGGCACCTCGTCTCTCTTCAAACCTCATTCTCTGACCACCACAGCCAGATTTCGAAGGGCTGGCAGCTGCGAAGGAAGGGGCAGCTGTAGCAGCTGCTACAGCACGTGCGGCTGAGGTGAGTGGTTTTCTGAGTACAGGCAAAGTGATGCTGCGAAGGCACACATCTAGATCTGTAGCATAGCTCATGCCGTAACCTGATGGAGGAGAGGCCAGTACAGCTGCCCGTGCAGAGGGAGAGCCGGCTGTAGCGGCTGTAGCGGCAGTGAGTGCTTGTCTGGAGACAGGCAACGTTGCACTGTGAAGGCAAATGTCTGAATCTGTAGCACAGCTCGTGCCATGAGCAGCTGTAGCGGCTGTAGCAGCTACAGCAGCCCTGGCGGCAGCAGTGAGTGCTTGTCTGGAGATTGGAAGAGAGGCGGATCCATGTGGGGTGTATGAGAGGGAAGCAGAGGAGGTAGTTAGACCAGGGGCACCCGAGACACCAACAGCAGCAGTAGCAGCAGCGGCAGCAGCAGCAGGGGCAGAACAGGGGCCTAGAAGGGGGCCTAATGGAGATGGTCGGGGGCTGCATAAGGGAGAGGGATGGGGACTATGAGCGGGAGATGTATGGGTGCTGTATGTGGTTGAAATGCGGGGGCTGCATAAAGGAGAGGAGTGCGGGCTGTGTGTGGGACCGGGACGGGGGCTGCATAAGGGGGAGGGATGAGGACTGTGTGTGGGAGAAGAATGGGGGCTACATAAGGGAGAGAGATGGGGCCTGGATATGGGAGGAGAGTGGGGACTGTATGAGGGAGGGGGACTGCTTGAGCGAGAGGGGCGCGGGCTGCATGTAGGGCTGCCTTGTGCCACGTTGATCGCTACTGGGCTTTGTTGAAGCTTAAGAATGGCACGTCCCTGCGCACCGTTGACCACTGCTGTTCTGCCACGTGGACTCACTGCCCCAGTGCCACGTGGACTCACTGCCCCAGTGACACATGGACTCACTGCCCCAGTGCCACGTGGACTCACTGCCCCAATCCCACCTCCACTCTCACACCCTCTCCCACCTCCACCTGTACCTGCTGCAGCTCCTGCCTTGGGAAGGCTTGTCTGGGGGAGGTATAACCTGGCGCTTTGACTTGCAAGCTTCGTGCCGTCCATCCCTGCTACACCTCCACCTGTAGCTGCTGCAGCTCCTCCCTTGGGAAGGCTCAACTGGGGAAGGTACAACCCGACGCTTTGACTCGCAGGCCTCATGCTGTCTATGCCTGCTGCCTTGGGAAGGTTCACCCGGGGGAGGCTCAGCCTGGCACTCTGGCCGGCAAGCTTTGTACCTGGTGCCCTGGGAAGGTCCAACTGTGGAGGGTTCAGCCTGGCGCTCTGGCTGGCAAGCTTTGTGCCTGCCGCCCTGGGAGGATTCACCAGGGGAAGGTAGAGCCTGGCGCTCTGGCTTGCAAGCTTTGTGCCTGCCGCCCTGGGAGGGTTCACCTGGGGAAGGTAGAGCCTGGCGCTCTGGCTGGCAGGTCTCATGCCGTGTATGCCTGCAAGTCTAGGCACTGTGAGTCGGGGTCTCCTTCTCTTGCGCTGATCCCTTGTGACCACTATGCTGTCCGAATGTGGGAACACCGGCACTCGCACATCTTGCTCCTCTTCCTCCTCCTCCTCCTCCTCTTCTAGAGACGACTCAAGACTCTGAACTTTCGCCACAACTATGCTGTCAGAATGCGGAAACACGGGCACTCGCACATCTTGCTCCTCTTCCTCTTCCTCGTCCACCTCCTCTTGATCCGCTTCCTCATCCTCGTCTCCTTTGCCGTATGCCCCTGTGACCACTCCCCGAAGCTTTGCAACTGAGAGGCTGTCAGAGTGAACAAACCGCCTTGCATGTGGGGGAGGAGCAGCAGAGGCGAAAGCACTTGAATTTCCACCTGAAAATTCGCCTGAATGTTCGCCTGAATATTCACCTAAAGTTGCGCTCGTGGAATGGCCTGTCCTCCTTTTAAGCCGGTTCACAGCTAAGCTATCAGAATGCACCAACCGCCTTCGCCAAGAAGCCCCTTTCTCCTTATCCAAGCCTTCCAACTCCTCCCCGTCTTCGTCATTTACACCTTCCAATTCCTCATCCCCTTTTTCCCCTCTTTCTTCCGGTACCAACTTCTCGCTCCCACTCCCCCTTTCCTCCCACTCATCCTCCTCTTCCTCTCCCACCACTTCGTCTTCCTCGATTTCAGCCATCCTCGTTTCAGGCTTCCCCACTCTCTTCCGTTGTAGCACCATGCTGTCCGAGTGTATCAACTTGCGAAACCCTAAATCTGTATCTCCAGTTCCCTCTTCATCCTCATCCTCATCCTCCTCTTCTTCTCCCTCCTCCTCTCCCTCCCATTCCTCAATCTTTCCATCCAGTCCAGTTCTCTTCCGGTGCAGCATCACGCTATCAGAGTGCATCAGCCTGCGAAACCCTAAAACTGCTGATCCATCTCCTTCCTCTCCCTCCTCTTCTACCCCTTCCTCTCCCTCCTCTTCTGCCCCTTCCTTTCCCTTCTCTTCTGCCCCTTCCTCTCCCTCCTCGTCTGCCCTGTCTTCCTTGTCTCCTCCACCATCATTCCCCCAACCGCCTTCAACCACCCCTAACCTTTCCTCACCTTTCAACCCCACCAACCCTTCTGCTCTCCACCCTTCTCTCCCATATCCTCTCTTTCCCTCGTCGTCCTCCTCCTCCCCCTTGTCCTCTTTTCCTTCATCTCTGTGTAAACCAGCACCAGAGTCTTCTAGTAATCTCTTTCGTCTGATCACCACACTATCAGCAATCCACACCAAGGGTGCACCAATCCCCCCTTCCCCCTCCTCTTCATCATCCCATTCCTCCTCTTCCTCCTCCCCTTCCTCCTTGTCCTCGCCCTCTTGCTGTTTCCCCCCTTCCTCGGCTTCTTCCCCAGACTCCCCTATACACACCTGCCCACATTGTTTCTGAATGTAATATTTTGGCTGCAGGGAAATCGTCACATTGTCAGCAATTTTTCCTCCGCAAACCGTCACCCCCACAACTACCCGCTCTTCACAAACATCCACCTCAAAGCTCTTCCTCTCTTCCCCAAACTCCCCCCCCACTCCCCCTTCCCCCGCGCCTTCCCTTTCCCCTCCCCCTTGCCCTTTTCTCCCGTCGCATTCAACCGTTTCCCCGTCGAATCCCGTTATCCTTGCCGGTTCCCCACTTCCCCCTTCCGCAAAGTCCCTAGCTCTGTGCGCCTGCTGCGCCTGGTCTTCCCCCCATTCCGCTTCTCCCCATTCCGTTTCCTCCCGAAGTTTGGTTTCCGCACTGACTTCACGTGATCGGGTAACGAAGTTTTCGTCCCGAATGACATATTCTCCATACTCTCGCCACGACGCTGGCGAATCCCTAGCCGAGCTGAAACCTTCTCGCAAATCTTTGACACTGGCAGCGAAACTCGAGCATCCTGTGTCCTTTTGAGGCACCGTGAACGATCGGAACTCCGAGGGTTGCGAAACGCGAGGCGACAGGAGGTGCGACAGGCGAGAGTAGGATGTTCCCGCGGGCAACAGACTCATGTGCGAAATACCACGCGGCGAAACCGCACTGGCGATAAAAGACGACAGAACTGAGCGACCGGGCTGGGACGAAATACCCGATAAGTTGAAGTTACCACTAACGTCATTAGGGTTTCTGCTGCTGCTTCTATCCAAATCAATGCTGCTGCCACAGCCAAAACTGCTGTTACTACTACCACTGCCACTGATGCTTCTGCTGCTGCCGTTCCCTCCGTGGTTTGCGTTACCCCTGTGATTGACGGCGCTACAGCTGCTATAAGTGAAATTGCAATTCCCAGCGCTCGTCCTAACTTGCGGCGACGCCAACGGCGTTTGCGAGAGACGCGATTGGATCCGAGGCATTGCAGCCGAACTCGACGGCTGGGGCTGTTGATTCCAACGACCGAGGCTGCTACTACTGCAGGTATCCTTATTACCACTTGGAGCATTAGTACTTGAACCATTAATACTTGAACTATCAGAACTTAAACTCGATCTAGGGGACTGGATTCCATGTGATGATGGTTCCGTTAGGCTCGTTCCAGGAAGCTGCACCAGAGGAGCAATCATCCCAGACTCAAAGCTCCCGCCACCCTTCCCGATGCTGCCAACGATTCTGCGTAGATCTGCGCTGCCGCTTCGCCGTACCCGCATGGGAAGTTTCTGACCGTTGATATTGCTAACGTTTCCCATTTCTCCAGCGGGTTCGTTCCCCCGGCTGCTGACGCCGTCAACGCCTGCGGCTTCTCCGGATCCCCACTTCCCCCCGCTCGCTCTCCAGAGTGCTCCGCCGTTGCTTACGAGCCGCATATTCGCGTCAGTTCGCGCGGCAATGTAAGAAGTTTGGACCGGAGAATCGAGCCGCGAAAGCGAACGCGCGCGCTGGTGACCTGCGGCGGCGCGCTGTTGCGAGTTCATATCCGCGGCCTGCGCGCGCGGCATCGCTTGCGCGCTTCTTCCTTGCGCAGGTTGCGCAAGCTCATGCGCGTGCGTCATGTACGTCCGCCCACGCGAATCCCGCATCCCCCATTGACTTTCGTGGTTTGACGGGAGGGGACTGTTGCAAGTGCTCGAACCGCGATTGTCCGCACTTAATCTGCCGTCTATTCCGGAACGTCTATCGCCTCCTAGATTGCTCAGTGCGGGCGCAAACCCGCGACGCGGCGGGAGGCCTCTGGGAGTAGACGACGCGCTGCCACTGCGGCTTCCTCCGCAGCTCCCCCCGCTGCTTCCCCCGCTGCTTCTCGGACTGCTTCCTCCGCTGTTGCTAATCCCACGAGGTGACTTCAGCGGGCTGCGCTGCTGACTCGGCGGCGGTTGTCGACGTGGCAACTGCAGCCGCGGGTCCTCGCCAGTGGAGTGGCGACGCTTCGGAAGTTGGAGGCGAGGCGCGTCGAGCGAGTGGCGGCGCGCGTGATGCGCGGGCAAGCTCACTTGTGACTGTAACGAACCTTTCAGTAAGGAGCCTCTTTGAGATGCTACTTGCAATTGACGGTTCACCGGTGGATTCACAGCAGGTGGGCCACGACACCTGGCGGAATCCCGGCTGTTCGCGGAGTCTTGGTTTGCGAAATCCCAGCTCGCAGTAACATTATTACTACAGCTACCGTCGGCGATGCTTCTGCTGCTGCTGCTGCTGCCAGTAGGATATCTGTACATAGGGATGTCCCCCTCGTTAAAAGAACCCGTCACTCCAGGGTATTCCACTTCCGACATGCTCATATTCCTCCGCTGCGAAGGCATCATTCGTGTTCGCACTTGCCGTCCCACGTCGCCGTTACTCGCGCCTGGGAACGAACATGAGCCCCTGGGTGTTGCCGAAGCTAAGCTTGTCGGTGTTGACGAACCCGTGCCGCGGCTTAGTATTGACGAGCCTGAGCTTCTTGGTGTTGACGAGCCGAGTTTCGGTGACGAGTTTCCGTCTCCTCCCCCCCGTCCACCTTGCTGCCACGGCATGATTCCACGCGGGGAGCGGGCGCACGCGGCGGCGGCGCCAACCTGGCGCACTGCACATGACAGGCGCGCAGCGGCGCCAGGTGCCTGATTTTCCGCGACCTCATGCTCAAATGAGTCACGGAAATCCCCGTCATGAAAATCCTCGTTATTGTTTTCGTGCTCGCCGTCTTGAAACTCGGTGTCCCGAATATTAGCATGGAGATCAGGTATCGTCAGGGAAGGAATCCGAGTTCGTAACTCGACCCTGGACCCCGCGACTCCATAGTCGCTGTTTGTACGGTGCACATCCAGCATGCTCGCAAGAGGGAGACTGTCTTTCTGTGAGGTAATAGAAATGTTCTACGCTGAGACTCGGTACGCTAATTCGCTGGTGAATAATGAGTTCATACAATGTCGGTTGCATAGAGCTTTAAAATCAGCGAAGCAGGTTGAGGTGCGAAGAACATGTTGCAGTTTCACTGCGTTTGGAAACAACGTCGTTTTCACAAAACCCAAGTCTGGAATTATCAAGTGAAGATTAGTATGATTTGAGGCGAGACGAGGAGATATCGAGAAGAGAGGAGTGGACGGCGAGACGAGACGAGGCTGATTGGCTCGGAACGTTGCCCCAAATTAGGAGCGAAGATATTATAGCAGAGAAAGTTCTCCACAATCTGTACAGAGCAGCGCTGCACTGTGCGAAGTCGTGTTTTGCGGAACCTATCGACCACTATCCATTAGGCCTGTCGAAGTCCCTGGGACCAAAACTTTGAGTCCTGAGCTCTGCTCGAATTCTGGCCCTGATTTTCACGGACGGTCCATATTAAAAACTTGAAATCAGGGCTTCTTAAAAAAGTGTGTTTGAGCCCTGATGTAACACAGGAGAATGTTTTCTCTTAGCAGGAAAAAGGTACATACGAACTACTCATCCACACACCTACAGCCTCTACATCGTAGGCAAAAGCACCATAGGAAAAATCATCGGGGAGTGGGGGTATGGAGGGGAGGCGGGGGGAATTTGAGGGGGTGTGTCCTTCGAAACAGAAACCAAAGCTTTGACTCAGGGGAAGGCCCAAACGAGGCCCGTAACGGTCACGGGTGCCATGCGGATCTAACACTTTAAATGGTCGAGCTGCTCGAAACGTAAGCCGGAATGTTCTACAGCCCTGCTATCCACCATGCCACCATGCGGCGAGAGGCTAGTCCTAAATCTCACACCTGAAAGGTCAGACAGGCAGGTGAACGCCCAGTCGACGACAAGCAGAAATCAGGAACAAGCTGGAATGATATGATTGGACTCCACATGACAATGACACACAACACAACACATGGCTTGTGTAACAGAGTGCCACAGGCGTGCAACAGAAAGTATCTGACGCCTAAGGACAAGCTCGCCAACAAGGGGGTGACCGCCATGGTCACTTTCAGCTCGTTACCTTCCTTGATTTCGTTTGGTATGTTTCCTTCCTTCCGAAGGAGTTCGGGAACACTAGGTATGCAACAAACTAAATTTCGTTTCTTTAGATACGCCCTTCACCATGCAAAGGAAGCGACGGGTCTTGGAGGGGGAGGGGAAGGAGAAAGATGCATCACCGACCCGCGACGCAAGCGGGATGGCGCGGAATCACAGAACTCAGGCCGCTTGGAGCCTTGTTTAATGCGGACCTGAGGCGTGTTTTTCGTGCCACTCTCACCGCCATTCCAGTTGATTTGTATCAACACTACAGTAGTGCACGTGGTTTGACTGGCTGACTGAAAGGGGGGACCTCCCAGAGTTTTGGGCAGAAGCCCTTCAGGGCGGCCTATTGTTGAGCATTTGGGCAGCTACGGCCAGAGGACTCAACCACCCTAAAAATCTTGGGTAAGTAGCTTTGGCAGGGGTCCTACTAGCGACCCTGCGCTTTCCAGGGAACTACAGTGCTAGTTGCGGGCACTTTCCGCCCCTCCGTCCCTCGGACAGGTAAGTTATCGCAACAGCACAGAACTCGGCTCCACATACACCCACGTGTCACAAATTCGCAAGCCACAGAAAAATGCTGACCGAAAAAAAACTAAAACCCAATCGGAAAGGGATGCGTCTCGGGGAGGCATAAACCCTTTAAAAATGCGGGTTCCTTTGTTTAGGGTTGATCCCTCCCGAAAATGAGTCCAGGTTTCCTATGAGATTTTTGTTTTTTCTGCCCTGCGTATTCTAGTTTTCTCGAATTTGTGACACGTGGGAGAATGTGGGACCGAGTTCTGTGCTGTTGCCATAACTTTCCTGTCTGAGGGTCAGAGAGGGGGGAAAGTGCACGCAACTAGCACTGTTGTTCTCTGGAAAGTGCAGGGTCGCTACCCCCGCCAAAGCTACTTACCCAAAAATCTTGGAGCCAAGTGAGACCCCCTTGTTCGTATTGGGTGTGAACAGTGTTCCGGCCAGCATGAATCTAAAAGTAACATTAACAATTATTGTCAGCCAAGAATGAAAACACACAAGAAAATGTTCGGCAATGCCATTTGGTCGTTTACGGTAGTTTCTCTACCTTTTGTAAAAATAAGGAGTGCAAGGCCAAAAGTGTGTCATCGAGCTTCTGCATGCTTTGTTCAATACGGCAAATTGCCCCTGAACCGTTGAATAATTTATCAGTTCCCCTTCCTCCCCCATTACCATATCAGAGGGAAACATGCTGTCCAACTTCTCATTCGAAGCATGCCGTATTTCTGATTATTGGGTACAAAACAAGTTGAAAACAATTTTTGTGTGGTAACGAGACAAGGCCCCCCTGGTCTACCATATGAGCGAATATGGTACCTTTCGGAATGATTTTGAACCCATCCGTTCCATCCTCACATTATACAGCATTGTTCATGGCCTAGAGAGTGCCTTGTTCATGGCCTAGAGAGTGCCTAGTTCATGATATAGAGAGCGATACATAGTGCAGAAAACGCCACTGCGTTGCCAGGCTCTGAAGAGCAACATCAAAGGGAGGAGGATAACACCGTTGATATCATGAGGCCGTGTTCATGGTCTAGAGAGCATGCCTTGTTCACGGTCGTGAGAGCGAAACGTAGTGCAGTAACCGCCACTGTGTTGCCGGGCTCTGAGGGGCAGACAAAAGGAAGACATACATCGATAGGAGCAGAAGGTGTAGAATAAGGGGGCTTTTAATATCAAGTCTGCTTTGAAGACAAAGAAGTCCGTTATAAAGGTGTGCAACACAGGAGATACCGTAACAGGGAAATCAGGAGATTGAGTTTAGGGTAGACAAAAAAATCAGCTCCGGCTATTTTCACACAATGTGCGGAACAAGGGAGGTAGAAGGCAGAATCTACCCATTCTCGAGTTCGTTACTGATCGGCATCGAGCTGCCACAGCCTTCCAATCACCATGCTACTCATCAATCTTTTGAGGCGCCTAAAAAGCTGCCACAGCCTTCCAATCACCCGTG